GCATAGTGAGCTTCCCTGTGCTGTGCTTCAGCCAGCTTTACAGATGATCAGAACCAGGCACTCGTACTCTTAGATGACTCAGCCCTATTATGTCTTTCATTACTGAGACAGAAATCCCAGGGCCTTACCATTTCACCTTAAATGCATTCAGTTTCTATTCTTCTAAACAACTGTCTGAAACGAATCCTATGTTCCCCAAGTTCAACAAGTCATAGCAGAGAGAGACCAGCATCATGGCATAAAAACTTACTGTGGGTATCAGCAGAAAAGCTTTGAAATGCAATTTGAAAATGTGTCCAAGACAATAAAAAAATGTAGGGTCAGCAAGATGGCTCAGGGAATAAACGTGTGGGCTAAGCCTGAAAACCTGAGTTTCCAGAACTCACAGGGTGGACAGAGAGACCTGACCCCACAGCTATGCTGTGGACAGAGACACCTGACCCCACAGCTGTCTGTGGACAGAGACACCTGATCCCACAGGTGTGCTGTGGACGGAGACACCTGACCCCACAGCTGTGCTGTGGACGGAGACACCTGATCCCACAGCTGGGCTGTGGACGGAGACCCCTGACCCCACAGCTGTGCTGTAAACAGAGACACCTGACCCCACAGCTGGGCTGTGGACAGAGACACCTGACCCCACAGCTGTGCTGTGGACGGAGACCCCTGACCCCACAGCTGTGCTGTGGACGGAGACACCTGACCCCACAGCTGGGCTTTACTTCCATGTCAAACAGCTCCTATTCCATTGTCTTTCTATCTATTTACTCCCAGGAAAGAATGTGGATGATGTAGGGAAAAATAAGCTATGAATGTAAACATTACAGATGTAACACAATTTATTTTGTTTATTGAATTATGGTATTTAGAATACTTATGTAACTAATATACTGCTTATGAAATTAGAAGTACAGGAAAGTAAATGACTTAAAATAAGAAGAATCTCATTATTGCTACACGTTTCTTGTCTTTATATCTTTGTAAACATTTTCATGCACATAGACAAATTTTAGAAATAAAAACACCCAAGACAACAGGATTGCAGATGTCGTTCTTCCACTGTTTAAAGGTTTACACACTAGTGAGATGGTGGTATATGTAAGATACTTTATCAGTTGCTGTTTTTAATGTCTCAGCCTTATAATGTGAGCATCTGCCAACACATATATCACATGTCACTTTCTAGGAGAAGTTTCATGCAGTCCCCTCCATCCTAGTTTCTCTCCTTAAGTTCCTGTAGCTCTGGGCAGAGGATGCACTGTGTTCTCTAAAGTCCCCTAAGAGGCTGTATTTGAAAAGTGACAGCAAGAAGAGGTAGGACAGCCAGAAAACAGGAAAGAACGAAGCAAAATGGCATATACGTAAAAAAGGCCAAAAGAAAGTCCATAACTTGAAATACTAATCCTAAACTTAATGTAAATAAACAATTTAAAACAGGATAAACAAGACCAGGTGTGAGAGAACTTGAGATGCAGAGACAAGATTTCTATGAGTTTGAGACCAGCCTAGCTGACAACAAGAGTTCTGTGCCATCCAGAGAAATACTACTACTACTACTGATAATAATGATAATAATAATGATAATAATAATGATAATAATAATAATTGCTGACAATCATTATCCTTTATCATAGAATGTCGTCTTTACAGGAAAAACTAAATCACCTACAGAGTAGCATGAAATTAACCTTACCTTTTAGAAGTAATCATCCTTCCTTTTCTTTTATATTTCTCGCCTCCTTCCCTTTCTTTATATTTCTCGTCTCCTTTCTTTTTTCTTTCTTTTGAGACAGAGCCTCAGGTAACCCAGGTTGGCCTTGAACTTACTGTGTAGTTGAGGCTGACCTTGCATTTCTGGTCCCCCACCTTCACATGTCAAATTCTAGGATGGCAGTTCATCATGCAAGACTACTCTTTGTCTCAAAATCCGGGTTTAACAAGCAAACACTCACATCAAACACACTGTTACCCACTAGAGCCCAGATGTAGACCAAGCAAGCACAGCACAATGGCTTCAACAAGGCTGGAGTGAGATGGGACTCCCAGGAGCCATGAGCACCACCTGCTGGGTAGCAACCCACCAGCCAGCTGCTGCAGGCTCTGCAAACCTGAACAACTGCAGAACTGCACAGATGCTGCAGAACTAGAGAGCAAAGACCCAAGCTAACTCTTTCACTGACAGGAAGCACGGGTTGTGACTTCTAACTCTATGAAAGCCCAAATAAGGCAACCATAGTATTTAATCAGAGGTGTGTTAAGCTCAACTCTGAAGCATGTGGTAATGCAACAATCTCCAACAGTCTCCAGGCAGGTGACTGCCAAACTGTACTGACATGGGAGTGGGTCTAGGCCCAGAATGCTTCTCGGGCTAGTACTGTGTCACTGGCAGGATCCCTGAGCTTTAGGAGGAATGGCTAAGTGTAGGGCCTTCACTTCATTCAGAAGAAAGTTGTAGAAAGCCAGCATGGCAACACCACACATTATCAACTGCCGGTTCTCCAGGCACCCCTGGGCCTCTTCTTAACCATCAAGTACATATTTAAAGGTATCAATTCAAAAGCCCACAGGTCGAGAATCTTCCTGAGTGACCAGGTGTCTACACCTAGTGGCAGTATAAATATACAGTAAGAAAATATGTACACTGTTTACAATTTGAATTTGCACAAGTCAAATCTCCTATATCCAAGTGTTTTCCAGTTTGACATCGTTGTTAACAATGTGTTAACTTGCTAACTGACCAGAAATGCCAAGAAAGGGGCAGGTCACTGTTTCTTCTTTGTATATCACAGAGTCAAAGAAGGCACTCCTGAAAATTATGCCAAACACAAACTATGAACAAGATTAGTTCCAAGATGTTAACTGGCTATAGCTTCAGTGCTAGGGCAGAGAACATTGAATTCTTATAAACCTGTTCTGATGCACTGAGCACAAGGTAACTGGTTCTTTAAACAGAGAGGATGGAAGAAGAGACAAGAATAGAATACAGGTTGTTCAAGCCAGTTACATGCCTTGTAAGACACAAACAAAAAAACAGGCTTACCACACAGACAAAATTAAAAATGATTTGTACTAAAACTTGTGTGTGTGCGTGTGTGTGTGTATCTGAGGTTAAGAGGCCTGCCTGCTTTTTCAGAGTAGTTAAGTTCCATTTCCAGTACGCACATGGAGGCTCACAACTCTCTGTAAGCCCAGTTCCAGGGGATCCAATGTCTTCTTCTAGACGTAGAGGGCACTAAGCACACACATGATGCACAGTGACACATACATGCAGAAAAAGTACACATACATATAAGAATAAAATAATTATAAAACTAACCATTGCAGAGTTCAGCAGAAATGTCCAAAAGCCAGTCACAGAGAAAATATATTCACAGAATGTACATTAAGTAACTTGCTGTTCTTCCTGTGCTCAGTTTTTCAGGAAAATAAATACAGAAAAGTATGGTTGTTGCCTCTCTAAACAGAAGGCACTATCAGTCACAAATACATGCCCAAGAAGTTCCCTCCCAGTTAGCTGTATCATCCACAGAATGCTTATACTATTTCCTAGAGCCTCTGTGAGATGACATTGCCTTCTCTTTTTTCATTTTGTTTTCAAAACAGGGTGTCTCTGTGTAGCCCTGACTGTCCTGGAACTAGCTCTGCAGACCAGGCTGGCCTCAAACTCATAAAGATCTGCCAGTTTCTGCCTCCCCAGTGCTGGGATTAAAGGAATGCACCACCATCACCCGGCCACCATTACCTTCTTTCTGACACACACTCTAGCTTGTCTTAATAATGACTGTGGACAGAGTGTGGTTGCTGTTACCAGCAATGAGGAAGCTGAGGCAGGAGAATCACTGTTTGAGGCTGTGCTGGGCTACCGTGAGACCCTCTGTCAAAGAAAAAAAAAATGTCCACATGCAACATAGACTATACTAAATGGTTTAATGTGTCAAGAGTCCCAGATGTGATCAGAGCTGCCCTATACTGGTATGGTGTCCACTGTCTCCTCAAATGACATTTCCATCTACAGTCTTGAATTTATACTCTTATTCTGAGGATGTTTATTGTTTTATGAAGCAGGACCTCACTGTGTTGTCTTGGCTAGTCTGTAACTTGCTGTGCAGTGCAGGATGGCCTTGGAGTCATAGACATATGTTTGACTCTTCCTCCAGAGTGCCAGGCTTTAAAGCATATGCCACCATGCCTGGCTCATGAGGAATTCTTTTTTAAAGATGTTAATATTACATGGGTATCCTTTTTAGACAGTCCTTAAGTTTTAAAAACAATTTTGCCCATAGAGGTATATAATGGCACTAATATTTACCTTCAGTATTTAATTGTAAAATTATTTATCGGGAGGGGTGTGGTGGTTGTGGAAGGTTTCCTGAATGTAGTGGTATGCCTGTAGAGGTCAGAGGACACCTTGCTAGACTCATTTCTTTCCTTTTCTCATGGGGGTCCCAGGGAGCAAACTCAGATTTTCAGGTTTGTGAAGCAAGCACTGTTACCAACTAGGCCTCCTGCCAGCCCTGGTGTGAATATACTAAATTATCAAATACATAAGCACTAAATTCATATCAGTGTTGCTGTAATCCCAGAGATCTTTAGACTATTGATTTAACTCAATATTCTTGGGAAATAATCTGGTAATCACAGAGTGGTGGCTAGAGATTGGGAAAATAATTAATGATGGCCAAGAGCTAGCTTCTAAGGGCTGAGGCTTTGTGGATGCTTTTCTGGCACTCACGAAGCTCTGGGTTTGACCCATGAGAAAACCCAGCAGAGGGATGCAGGCCTGTGATCACCACGGCTCTTGGGAATTAGATGCTGAAGGATCAGAAATTCACACCTACCTTGGGCTACATGAGATCCTCCCTCAAACAAGCCAACAAATCAAACGTGCTCAGACCTCTGAGGCAGTCTTCAGCTAAGGCCACTTTGATGGCTGCCTGGTTAGAGGCATACAGGTACTCTGAGCTGACTTCCTGTTTGATTTTTCAGAGACTTACTGAACTATGGCTCAGAGTGACTTCCTCTACCCACAAAACCCAAGGAGGCGACAGGAACTGAGCCGCCTTCACCAGCAGCTGCTGGACTGCTTGTCTGACAGCTTCCAGGTCACCAACAAGCTCACAGGGGTTCTCAATACCCACTTAGGTTGCAGGCTGGCCTTCATTGAAATGAAAAGCAATGGAACCATCAAAGAAAACTGTGACATCATTATCCAAGCTGTGACAAAAATCCAAAAGGAACTGCAAAAGGTTGACGAGGCACTGAAAGACAAACTGGAGCCAACCCTTTATAGGAAGCTTCAGGATATTAAGGAAAGGGAGGCAGAGAAGATTGCCATTGTGCAAAAGGTCATTTCTGTCATCCTGGGAGAAGCTACATCTGCAGCCAGTGCAGTGGCTGTTAAACTGGTGGGCTCCAATGTCACGACTGGCATCATTAACAAGCTGGTCTCTGTGCTAGCTCACATCGGGACTTCTCTCCTCGGAAGCATTGGTGTTGCCGTGCTCGGCCTCGGCATAGATATGATCATTCAAGCCATCTTGGGAGCAGTGGAGAGGACACAGCTTCAGGCAGCCATCAAAAGTTATGAGAGACATCTGGAGGAGTTCCAGGCAGCCTCAGAGAAGTACCACCATGCCATCACTGAGGTCATCACTGCTGTGAAGCGCCAGTTCAGATGAACAGTCATGTATCTACACTGGGAGAGTCTGTGCTTCCCTCTCTGGCACCATGCTCATTTCTTCAGGTTACTTTTCCATGTCTCAAAACAATGTGGATACTGATAAACAATTTGGGATGCTTGGGTCTTGGGTCAGCAGTGAGTGCCCAAACCATCTGGGCACTCACTATCAAACTCAACTATCAGGGGATAAAGCTCTCTCCAGTTTTCTTACCCTGTTGTCAGAACCACTGAGGTGTAAAGGCATCAGAGACCAGCAGGCACAGACCATTGCTTCCTTGTTCCCAGGCAATGTCTTCAAACATTTCTACTAAATGGAGAGACCATTCCCATTACCTGGTTCAAACATCACTTATGTCTAAGAAGTCATACTTAATAACATCAGAGTAGACACACACACCTGTGGCCTTCAAATAAAATACATACTTCTATTTTTTTTTTTTACCATCAGATTAAATACAATTGTCTGCAAACTGGCAATAAAGGCAAAACAGCATCAACAACATTTTCTTCAAGAATGAAAGGAAGCAACACATTTGTGAGCTTCTACTTATTACAAAGTGTGTCTGGGTGGATTTGGAAATGGATGAGTTAATGAAACTTGTTCCTATAATGCAATTAATATGGACTGCCTGTCAGTTATTATTTTAGCAGTCGAATGTTATAGAACATTGTAAAGAAAACAAAACAAAAAAAACAAGAAATAAACCCTAGCAATCCCTGCATAAAATACATTAGAGTGAGGAAAAAGACTCTCCTGCCCCCTTTTAGGATTTTTGGGAAGAAATAATTTCATTTTCAATACTATCAGGAAGGGGTAGCTCCCTTTGCCCCAGAAAGCATTAGCAGACCTATGTCAATTGCCACCTGAATTCAGAAAAAGGAGAAGCTATGGAGGCCTATTGATCGAAGTTAATTTCTGTAGATACAGCATTTGTTTTCTAAACCCTGCATCTAACCGTTCTCGTTGAGCCATTTTTAGGGTCCACTTCAAAAATCATTATACTGTAACCATGGTGAGAATACTGTTGTTATAGCTGTTTGGGGTTTTTTAGATGTATTTATTTATTTCATGTATGTGGGTACATTGTCACTGTCTTCAGACACACCAGAAGAGGGCATCGGTGCCCATTACAGTTGGTTATGAGCCACCATGTGGTTGCTGAGAATTGAACTCAGGATCGCTGGAAGAGCAGTCAGTGCTCTTAACCACTGACCCATCTCTCCAGCCTGACTAGCTGTTTTGTTTTTTTAAACACACACACACACACACACACACACGCACACACATCACTGGAATAACATATTCAGTATATCTAAAAATAAAACATACCTCTTAAGAATTGTAACAAGCCATATAACTTTTTCAAATGTATTAATTTCTATATCATCACTGCTTTTGTAAATTAGTTTCAAAATATCACCATTTGTGTCACCTTCAAAATTTATTACCTGGCTTGTATGTTATGAACCAACAGATCTTGCTATTGCTGACACTCAAGGAGTATGCAAGAAAGAATGACACACCCAGGCATCACGGCTTATGACTGTAATTCCATCAATCTAAGCAATGAGGCAGAAGGATGGGGAGATGGGACCATGCTAGACTATTTACCTAATTCTTATTTTTCCCCACCACGTCAAAGCTAGGCTTAGTATGGTACTGAAGTAACATTGTTAGGGGACACACTTAGTTCTAACATAAATTATAAATGTTCTATTAATTATTAATTAGTTATAACATTAGTGTCTATCTATAACATTCTAAAAATTTATATAGACCTCCATCCATACTTTCAAAATACCTGATGTCAAAAATTTCCTAAGGACTTTTTTCTGTAAAGGATGGGCAGACTAAGATGAAAACTAACCAATTGTGAGCTTTATGAAGATTTCACTTAAAATGCTTACCTTTAAGGGGAAAGGTTGGAGAGAAGTCTTAAGGAATGGGCTGTAGGAGGGAAGTATAATGGCTATTCCTGGTTGTAAACATGACTATATCTGGAATGAACTACAAGCCAGAATTGGAAGGCTCACCTGTGACCCAGATCTTGACACAGGTGTCTGACCTGGATCTTGGCATGGAGATCTTGAGGCGTAGTGGCTATGAATCCCAGGAGACTAAGGCAAGGAGATCTCTGAGTTCAAGATCCAGATCCAGAAGTGGAGGTACACACCTTTAATATGGTCCACACCTTCCCTGTATAAGGACATTGGAATAAGGAAGATTTGCTCTTCTTCCCCTCTTGCATTTACTTGCCAGCACATCAGTTGGAATCTATTAGCCTTGTGGGACTTCCCATTTACAGCTGACCATTGTTGGGGAATTGGACTACAGACTGTAAGTCATCATAACAAATTACCTTACTATATAGAGACTACCCATAAGTTCATGACTCTAGAGAACCCTGAAAGGAAGACTTCAGATAAATCAGTGTGCAATGACATCATAAAGGAGTTTGGGTTGATGAAAAGATCATTTGAAGCGTTATGTATTAACATCGCTGGAAAATCTACAAATGTACCCCGTTTCTCTTTTAAAATACACGTTTTCGTGTAGATTATCAATTTGTGAGTCTCCCCACCCAGGCACTATTTGTTCAGTTCATCACATGCTGTGTGTTTAGAGGGCTGATATTTGCTGAACACTTTAGGCTCGGTGCCCAGTGTTATTTGGTAACAGTTTTCTATGGAGGCATTCAGCATCCATTTATTACCAACGACAACTGACACAGAATCAATGGACGACACAGAACTATACGCATACCGCTACCCGTCGTCCTGAGAGAAGGGGCTGCCGGAAATGCGTCAGAATTCGGAGAGCAATTGCCCAATCAAATCCCAGCTTCCTTACTTTTTATTCTTATTGGTCTATATTAGTGTCAATCTACAATGCTCCGGAATGAGGCGGGTCTCTTGGACTATAGTTATCCAATCGCATATTAAAGTAGAGCGGAAGTAACTCTGGCTCTAAAGTTGTTGTATTCTCTCTATGGTCCCAGTACTAGGCAACGCGGTGAGAGCACCGTCCGCGGGTACAGGAAGTGACGGGGACTGGCGGAGGGGCGCGAGGTTTCAAGATGGCGGTGCCTGGGTGGTTGACCGAGAGGCAGAGGTGAAGGCCCCTTCGCAGAAAGTACTCGGAGACCGCCCGCTATTCGCTTTCGCTGTCCCGGGAGCCTCGCAGTCGTGTGAGTGCGTGCGGACTAGATGCTCCACTTCCCGCGACCCTCCCCGGCACTTGCTAAGCCTTCTCTGAAACACAAGGCCCAGGGGCCGCGTTCTTCCTCCGCTGGGCCGGGGTGGCGGGAGCCACGGGTTTCAGGGCTCTGCGGCTGGCGGGCGCTGCGTCCGATGGGTCCTCGGCCGATCCCGCCCGCTGGGTCAGATCCACCTCCTGAGAGCGTCGGCCGGTGGCCGTGGGTTGATGTCTAGCCGCTCGAGTCAGTATCAACCGTCGCTATGGCAGTTGCGGTTGAGGCCTCCTTCAGTGGACCTGGACCGATTGGGTTGCGCTTGTGCTGTCTGTGTTCCCATGGTCTTTTGACCTCGACTCTCCCAATTTTGTAGACGAAGGCACTGTGATCTTGTAAAAATTCTCCTTGACTGATTTGTTTTTAGTTGTTTGTGTGGTGGGGTGGCATCGAAACGTGAGCCTGAGGCTGGTTTAAAAGGGGAAACACTAAAGATACGATCAAAAATAGAAAATGTTGTATCCGTGCCTTTTTCAAGTAATCTATCATCAATACTCTTTCCTTCCTCCCAAAGTCCTGCCCCTTCTGCTTCCTGATAAATAAACATTTATAAGGAAACAGTCGACACCGATCCGTTCTGAAATATCTGGGAAGTAGCAGGGAGCCGGGCAGTTGAACGCGTGATGAAAGAAGCACTAAGTGAAACAACTTACAGAGTCTCAACCAAGGAGCCGTGGGAACTACAGCTGTAGAATCTTAAATTTCCCTCGGGATCTTCCCCTTCCCAACCTAGACAGAAAATAGACTCATTCAGTGCCCAAAGGGAGCCACAAGACGGGTAGCCTGTAGGCAAATGTCACACACTTTCAACGGGAAACATTTGTTCTTTTTTATTATTGGGAAGGTTACATTTTGAAAGTTCCATTCATTTGAAATGGAAGAGAAAGAAGTGATACTAATGAAAGCAGAGGTTGAAAATATTTGCCTACATTGACTACCACCTTTAGTTCCTTTAAATATATAAATATTTTAATATTTAAAATATATAAATCAGCCGGGCGGTGGTGGTGCACGCCTTTAATCCCAGCACTTGGGAGGCAGAGGCAGGCGGATTTCTGAGTTTGAGAGTTCGAGGCTAGCCTGGTCTACAGAGTGAGTTCCAGGACAGCCAGGGCTACACAGAGAAACCCTGTCTCGAAAAACCAAACAAACAAACAAAAAAGTGTGTGTGTGTATAAATAAAAATCAGGAGTCGTGCTAATTTATATATACATATATCTTAATATCAAGTTTTAGGGAGTTCTAATACTTGATTTTTTTGTTTGCTTTTGCTTGAGAGTCAAATCATTTGACTTGGTATTAAATCAAGATAAATATGTTTGAATGGATTGCTTTTTGTCATCCGGGGTGTTGAATGAACAGTACACATCTAAGGGAAAAAGTAAAGAGCGTGTATTGTCTTTGCACCTAGATCTCTTATCCCCACTCCTGTTTGATTTCACCTTACATGTAAAGGGAGGATGTCCTCAAGGGTTCGAATTGCATTGTTAGAACATTTTCTAAATTGGTTTTGGTTTGTTTTGAGATTGTCTCATATGGCTCAGTCTATATTCCAAGCGATAGCATTTTAAGTGCAAAGTACTAGTTATTCAGTTAACAGCATTTTATAATCCATAGGAAAGTGTTAAACTTTTGAGTATTAAATGATATTCTCCCTGCCTTGACTAGTAGATATTAGCCCTTTTGGTGGTCAAGAAAGGTAAAGACATATTTCTTGGATGCTTCATTCAGAATTAAAGAGCATGTTCTTACAAGTAGGGATCCAAAGGGATATTTCCAGAAATTTATGAAAATTCTTAAAAGGAGACATTTTGCACATACAGAAAAACTGAGTTTTTTATATCTTTTTTTCCAGTTTTGTTTTTTTAATGAAGAAGTAAATCACATAAATTATCAACATGGGACGAAGATCGACATCCTCCACCAAGAGTGGGAAGTTTATGAACCCCACAGACCAAGCCCGTAAGTACCATTAGTGTGGGATGAAGAAGAGTTAAAACTGGCATTGATAGAGTGGGGTGTGTGAAGTCATGTAGAATTCTAATAATTAAAAGTCATTCATGGTTAGAATGTTGAGACTGTAAGTTACTCAATGTGTTTCTTCTCTCAAACTTGATTGGCTAGCAGGATAAAGTTTAGTCTTTCTTCTTGTGTTAGAATTTTTAAACAAATGAGTTTTTAAGTGTGTGATTTGAGAATCTCTTTTCCTCCTTGTAGTTAAGTTATTTTTCTGTAAACAACACATCTTGGCATTTTGGGTTGAGGGTTAGAAGCACTCCAGTTTCCTCACGGGTCAAAGCCACCGACACCTTTACTATCTATGTGCTCCCTAGCGGAGCCTCAGAAGAAAGAACAGACATAGCATGTGGTAATGTTAATGGTGGGGATTTGAGTTCTATCTTCTCTTCCTCTCTTCTTAGGAAAGGAAGCCCGGAAAAGAGAATTGAAAAAGGTATGAATTTAGAAGGATTCTGTGTATTGATTTAGATTTGTGAAATTTCAAATTATATGCCAGAAAAGATGCTTTATCCTATACTTCTGATGAAAATCAGAAAGTTGACTATGTTTAAATCTGACATAACTCTGGAGATGTGATTCCTGGTGGCTTGAATGACATTGTTTAAGTCTCTTTCCTTGTAAGTTGGAAATGCTTTGGGGCTGGAATGATGGCTCAGGAGTTAGCAGCACGTTATGCTCTCACAGAGGAGCTGAGTTCTCTGCCCAGCATCTGTGTTGGGTGACTCACAACCATCTGTAAGTCCATCTCCCAGGAATCCAGCACCCTCCTCTGATCTCCTCAAGAACCCATAGACACGTGCCCATGCATTCACACAACACACTGATGAGTAACATTGTTTTTAGAATGACATTTGAAAATAATTCTTAAGCTGAGTGTGGTAGTTCATGCCTGTAACCCTAGCACTTGAAGGCTAGCCTAGGCTACTTCATACCTTGTCTTGAGAAACTAATTATTTTTACTCTTTATCAAAATGTAACTGCTTTGTTAAAAGGTACTGAGTGAATGCCAACAGTTGTGTTGCTGGATATCTTTGTGTGTGTGTTGTTATCAATTAAGTTTTGGCAGAATACTCAGAGCAGTGAACATTTGGTATCACCTGTGATGCATTGAGGGACCTTTGATAATCTCTGTTGGTTTGCTCTTTTATTGTTTAGCCTTAATCTTTCAAAATTTTTCCTGTCTAACATAGTGTTTCTTTATTTAACCTCACCCCCCACCCCCGTTTTTAAACAAGTTTATCTGTTAAGTAGTTTTAACAGTATAACTGAGTAGAAAAAAAAAATACTTAAAAGCGCATCATTTTGACTAAAGTTTAAACATTATTGAGAAGAATTATTCTCATAGTTGTTTCTGGAGGTTTAAACATGTGATTAGAAACAAAGGAGAAATTTGACTTTCCTCTTAGACTCTTGAGGCAAAGTGAAGGTAAACTGTCCTGAGTGCCCAGCTTCTTTCTCAGTAGTCTTTCTCTTTCACTCATTTTCTAAGAACAAAAAACAGCGCATGATGGTCCGAGCTGCAGTTTTGAAGATGAAAGATCCCAAACAGATTATCCGGGACATGGAGAAATTGGATGAAATGGGTAAGAGTGTAGGAAAGGTCCAGACTTAACAAAGGCTGTCATGGTCTGTTGTACACAGAGGCAGGCAACATAGCCCCAGGAAATCACAACAACCTGGTGGCTGCCATTGGGTACCACATTTTGTTGTAATACTATGGAAATAAAGAGATAGGTGATAGATCTGTTGTCCTATATTCTAGAAGAGGGGCACTGTCATTTAGTTGGAGCTAGTTACTGTAATTAGGTAACAAAGATCTTGTCTGGCTAGCTCAGTTTATAATTTTTCAGATTTAATGGTCTTTTCACTTTACATTTATGTTAGTGGAATAAGAAACGATACCCACTCAAGAATTCTTATTTGCTAGGAATGATGCAGTAATATTGGCTAGATTTGACTAAATCATTAAGCTAGTTGGGGAAGAATTTGTTTGTTCTTCAAGAAAAAGAAAGAACCCTAAATCACCAGGGACCTATTTTTCATTCAAACTAATTAACATAGAAAAGTATATCCTGGCTTTCATAATTGAGACACCCCTAA